GCAGATCACGGTTTATGGCCACCCCGAGCTGAGAGCCCGCGCCTCGGCTCCGTCTCTGCAGCCGGCTTCCCCGCTCCCATCCCTGGGAGCTCTGCCGCACTCAGGCACCCCCGGTCTTTCTGTGACCCCCAGGGTCCTGAGACCACACTGTCCCGCGAGGGTTCCACCCCCCGCTTAGCCACTGGAGCGACGTCCCTCAGCGGAGCCGACTTCTAAAAGGTCCGATTTTGTGCTCCGCGGCTCCATCACTTGCCAGAAGCGGCCAACGGAGGCCCCCTCCCCCGCCGTCTATCCTCCCGAATATCGCCTCGGACTCACTTCTCCGCACGTCCTACCTTCCAGAAAGTGGTCGCTTTTCTGTTCAGAGAGTTGTTACTCTTATTATCTTTAATCTCCTGTTGAGTTCGTAGGTGTTCAGAATGGTTTGATCCCTATCCAGCTGAATTCCTGAGACCAGACGAAATCCAGGTCTCCTCCTCCTCCGCCATCTTGCTCCGCCCACCCCCCTCCCGTCAGATTTCTTATATGTTTACTTTTCATCTGAGCTAAACTGGGAGCTCCTGGAGGTAAAGGAATGTGCTCATTAGGACACCCTCTGCTTTTCAAAATATGGATTGGGTTAACATGGATCAGAACCTGAGTTTTGTTATCATCTTGAAAAGAGAGATCCATGGTTGTGATGGGAATGCTAAAGCCTAGTACCAACCTAAGACGTCTTGACTTAACAAAAGTGCAAAAGGCCAGACAAGGACCCGTATTTTCACTATGAGATTTCAGACTATTTCATACTGGTTCCTGCACTGCCAAAGTCATCTCCTGGCCCTCCAGTCGTATCAGTAAATGCTAACATCCATAGAGGTCTGGATCACCAAAAAGCAAGATATGAAAAATATTTGCCTCTGAAAGTGGCAGTGTAAATTTACGGGGGGCTTTCCCCTTTTACTGTGTAAACTTTGACATCATTTAAATCTGTTGCACACACATAAAATATATTCATAATAAAACCAACTACCAAAGTTTTAATGCAAAATGACCAAAAAGCTTATAAAAACAATATCATATTTAGATATTGTGTTCCTTAACAACAACTCAAGAACAAATTAGTCACAGATTCAGCAAATGTTACTAAAATGGAGATGACCATAACAACCATGAAGGAAACATTTTAATTAGCATAAGGTGTGTCAGCCTTGTTCAGATTTATAAGAACCTCAGGAAAGATGTATTAGATGGCTTAGTGCTCTATATGAGCCCATGATTTTTCTCTTAATACATTTTTCTACCACAAATAGAGAAGCCAAAACCAACCCATGGATCTTTAGAACATCCATGGAAGCACTTACGTTGAATGATGGAGTTTCTGCCACAGAACAGCAGTTTGAGAAACAGAGATCATCATTTACTCCACGAATGTTTATTGGGTCTACTATGTGCTAGGCACTCATTGTGCAGTGAGCCGAGAACACAGGGGCCCTGCCTACCTGGGGCTTCTAGACTAGAGGAGGAACAATAAATAAGTAAACATGTAGGTAAAGAGGGACTGAACCAACATTAAGTCCCTTTTAGTCACCCAAGTAGCTTATTCCGTAACTTACTTAATGACCACCAGAAAAGAACCATGTGATCTGTTCAAGATTTGCCTCATCCCTTCCCCTAAAGAGTTCACTCAGACAGCTTGCTTGAACTTGACCATAAAAATACTTTTAACTTGAGTTAAGAGCCATAAAGGCAATTCTCATTAGTGTGGGTGTTCTAATCTGAGCAACTAGACCTTTCCCTGGGAAAGACCTTTCCCTAGGAAAGACATCTCCTCCATGGAGACCCAGATTCTGACCTTGGCCAAATTTGTGATTCAAGGAAGAAGACAGGGGTCAGCCCACTGGACACTCAGCTTCAAAAAGAGGAAAGGGCTGGTGAAAAGTAGTAAATGCCATTACCATTTTGCATCCTGCTGGACTTCAAGGGTAGTTCACTATAAGTGCTCCATGCTTTTACTGGTTATTTCCTTTGAGCCACATGTTCCAAAATCCAGTTCCACAGGCTTATGGAATTGAGGGCCCCATGGACACTTAACGTGCATTGTATGTGAGCATTTTCCAGACATGGGTAGAGTGCATGGCTTTCCTCTAATTCTCAGGAGAGTCTGAGCTGTGCAGGTTGATGCCCAAAGTACAGGAATCCATGCTCTGCAGTCATGGTCACCCACAGGAGGGCACGCAACCTGCCCCGGAAGACCAGACGATGTGACAGCAGTAAGCTCTACCAGGCTCTGTGTGTCGTGCCAAGAACTGAGGCAGCATTTATGTCATATATCTTCACACAGTTTATGAGACAAGTACTAATATGATCACACCCACTTTACAGAATAATTAAGTGGTTCTGGGACTTCATGCTTAATCACTACCTTACATTTGCTCTTCCTATGGTCAGAAATGCTTGCCACCTCCCATGGAAGCCAAGGAGCACTATGATTACAAAGAGCCTCTAGCTTATTCCCTTTGCTGTTAAAACTGGATCTACAGCCAGGTGCCAGAAGGCCTCAAATGTGTCTCTGGCAAAATCTGATTCAGAAAAAAAGGAAATCCAGACAGGTTCCCAAGATCTCACAGTGCTAGGAGCTGTGACACCCAGTGCACACCTATTTCAAAGAACCATTGTGCATCTTAATTACAGGTAAATAGATGGACATAATAGTCTCTGTTGACTCTTTTCAGGGCTAGCCATTTAATTATGGTCTGCTCACAGGGTGAAAAACCCAAGTTCCCCACTCTGTCAAGACTGCTTTGCCAAAGCTTGTAATTCAACTCAATTCAACCATAGTCTATGTAGCATGTACCACTTAATAAGGCAATAGGCCCCAGGTAACTGTGGGATGAAAGGCAGTCACAAAGATGAATAGAACATTTCGTATATCCCTCTTGGCAAAAAGTAATGATGCAGGATACATTTTCTGTAATCAATACGGTTCTAAAAATTAGGCACAAATCATTGTTTTACATGTTTTAAAGGGTCAAACTGAAGAGTGATAATGGGGATGAAGATCACCACTGTCACCCCCATTTAACAAGGACCAACGTCAGGGCTGCCGTGTTTTATGAAGTATCTCAAAACCCCATCACAATTCTATAAGGTAGATTTAATTGGCCCATTTTAGAGATGAAATAAAGTCGAGAAAAATACCCAGTGACACAGAGCTAATAACTAAGTAGCTGAGCAACAGTTAAACCCTAATTCTATCCACCTCCAGAGACCTGCTTGCTTTCCACTGGCTCCTGCTGCAAAACTTTTGCTGTAATTTGAATACTCTCTCTGGCTCATCTGTTTTATATCTTTGATTTTCCAAGAAGCATATTCAAAATAGCAATTTAAAAAATATGGTGTAGGGTTACCTGGGTTGGCTCAGTTGGTTAAGCGTCTGCCTTCACCTCGGGTCCCAGGGTCCTGGGATCGAGTCCCACATCGGGCTCCCTGCTCAGCGGGGAGCCTGCTTCTCCCTCTCCCACTCCCCCTGCTTGTTTTCTCTCTCGCTATCTCTCTCTGTCAAATAAATAAATAAAATCTTAAAATAAAATAAATAAAATAAAATAAAATAAAAAATACACTGTAAGGGTGCCTGGATGGCTCAGTTGGTTAAGCGTCTGACTCCTGATTTCAGCTCAGGCCATGATTTCAGGGTCATGAGTTCAAGCCCAACATCAGGCTCCACGCTGCGCGTGGAGCCTGCTTAAGATTCTCTCTCTCCCTCTCCTGCTCCTCCCCCACCCCCCCCTAAAAAAAAATACAGTGTAATTCTAGACTTGAGCACCACACAACATGGATCCATGATCTAGGAAGAGTTAAAGCCTTTGTGCTGACCTTCCTCTTCAATGACATTTTCAAGAAATCTACCATTCACCATTTTCCAACCATTTTATCATGAGTAACTCACATCTTCAACCACAAGCCCAGGGCTGGTGTCCAGAAGCCCAACGGCTAGGGAGCTGCCCCACCTCAGCTGATTAAGCTGGTTCCTTGTGCATAAAAATGAGCACAAAGAATCGTACCAGCCTCCTAACATTCAATGCAGGGACATTATCCAGTGTGTCCATCTCTACATGGCCGTTAATCATTTACAGTATTTCTTCACAGCTTAGATAATGCCAGTAATGAACAGTCATGAAATAATCTGCCAGAAAGATTAGTTTTCATTGCTCCATCATGTTATAAAACAATCAAATTCCTGACGTCCATGTTATCAAAAGCTTGGAGTGTGGGAATATATTTTTTCCCCACAGCGGCTTTATGATTATGGATAACTCTGATTCCCAAAAGTTTTCTAGGCAAAGTCCACCACCCTCTATTCTTCAAGCATCAGGCTTCTAAGAGCCATATAGCAAACCATTGAGTAGTTTGATCTGATGTGATGTGTCAAATGGGTAGAATAATAAATTTTTATATCGTGCAACTGGCATACGCTGGAAATGGCCATAAAGTGTCTACTGTTGTTATTCCTAATAATGGTTTAATAGAGGGCAATTATGAGATATGGTTTATCCAAATGTTCAGTTCTCTAGAGCTAAAAGGAAAATCAATCACAAAAATCAGTTGGTCCAGTCCAAGTGTAGTAAGGCCTCAAACTTCATGCTAATGGAGCTCATAAAGTTGCTAAGATTGTTAATATTTTGAAAAGTTGCACTGTTCTCAAATCCTAGGTAACATCAGAATCAAGAGGTCTGGGGGTGCTTGGGTGGCTCAGTTGGTTAAGCGTCCAAGTCTTGGTTTCGGCTCAGGACATGATCTCATGGGTCCAGAGATCAAGCCCCACGTTGGGCTTCATGCTCAGCGGGGAGTCTGCTTGAGGATTCTGTTCCTACGTCCCTCCCCCACTCTCTCTCTCAAATAAATTAATTTAAAAAAAAAGGAATCAAGTGGTCTGGTAAGCGTTTAGGAACCCTAATATTAATCAGGTAATTCTGATACAGGTGATCTTTGAGAATTGTACATTGAAGCAGTTGACCTACCTGGGTACAGGGTGGTCCCCCCTGGCAGGATGCCCATCATTGACACTGGGGTCGAGGCACACCTGGTTCAGGGAGCAGAAGCTAACAGATTAAGTTCTTGCTCTCCAGTATTCTTTTCAGAGGTAACAGCTAAGGTGTAAGGATAAAGGCCACTTTAACCTTGGGCAAGCTGGCTAATTAGTTAGCAGTTCAAAGGCAGGGATAAGCGGTTATAAGACATAGAAGCAGACTTAATTAGAGGAGTTTACCAAGCCCCTCCTCATTCCAGAACCTCCCAGCCCCTTGACCTTCACAGCCTTCAGCTAATTTCCACCAGCCCCTCACCAATTCTGCCTCTCCTTCACATCCCCGAGGCTCCAGCTCTCTCCCCTTCTCCTTGTTCTTCATCATTTGGAATTAAATTAAGCTTAAAGGCATTTTTATTTTCACGGCTGTTAATTTAAAAATCAGAGGACCCCTATTTCTAGTTTCATTTATAAAGGCTTACTAAATATATTTGTATTTTCTTTCGTATTATCAAAATTTTTTCTTTGTATGTTGGGGACCCCCCGTCACTAGCTAATTACTGCTCATCTCCTTTGTGCAAGGTTTTGGGTGGGACCTCTAAAAATATAAAGTTTGTATTTTTTCAAACCTCTCTCTCTTGAGGACAGAGACCTGTATCACTCACATCTGCCTTGCTTTCCAATAGGCTCAAAAATAGAGTGATTGCTGAAAAAACAGTTACTGAATTAAGTGATTCCAGCCTTCAGAAACTTACATCCTGACCGGGAGGTGGAGAGAAGTGCCGGGAACAGAAATCCCAACACAGCCTGTATTCATTTCTGATTGTTCCCATAACAAAGTACCACAAACTGGGTAATTTAAAACAACACAAAGTTATTATCTGACAGTTTGGGAAAGCAGAAGAACAAAATGGGCTTCACAGCTTAAGATCACGGAGTCGGCTGGGCTGTGTTCCCTCTAGAGGCGCTAGGGGAGGAGCCATTTCCTCGCGTTTCCCAGTTTCTAGAGGTGCTCAGACCCCTCGGCTCGTGGCCCTTCCTCCTCCTTCAAAGTGCATGGCTCTAACCTCGGCCTCTGCATGACATCTCCCTTCTTTCCTCCTGACCCTCCTGCCTGATCACACTGGGCCCACCCAGATAGTCCAGAATAATCCTCACAGCTCCGGTACTTAATTTAATCACACCCGCAAAATCCCTTTTGCCCTTGAGGGTCGCATATTGACAAGTTTCAGGGACCGGGATGAGAACATGGGGGTGGTGTGCAGTGGGGGTACTCAGCCGACATCAGACAGGCACGGATCTAGGAATCCAGGAAACGGGGTTGGGGCAGGGGAGCTCCCCAAGGTGGGAGTGGTAAGGATTGGCTTTCTAGAACAAAAGGCTTTTCAGCTGAGCCATGAAGGATAGGTCAGGTCGGGGAATAAGGGCAGAGTTTTGGAGTCAGGCAAAACTGAAACTTCAGTTTTCTTCTATGTAGACTAAAATAATACCCATTTCATTTATGGTAAGAGTAAAGAAGTGTACGTAAAGGGCCTGGCAAAGCTATGTAACTAATCTGTAGAACATTTGCAAATATCCGGAGATGACGTCCACCTTAACTCATTACGGACTGGTCCCCCTCAAGGCTAAAAGGACACAAGGAAAGAGAAACTGTCAGTGAAAAACGTAGCATCCTAAGAGTCACCACGTAAACATCTGATGGTGCTACTCTCTTTCCCAGAAGTTACGAATTCCACATCCAGTGGCCAAGGTCTCCTGCCAAATTACTTGGTTATTTTCATCCAAAATAAAAAGAAGCTGAGGGTGTGGTCAAGCCGAAGGAAATGCCCTTGGCTCCAGTCAGGAAACCATTTCCATAACAACCCAGCACCACACGGCAGCTGGGCAGCACCATCTTGAGCTGTGCCTGAGTGTTGGCTATTGTCCGCACCCACCGAGGGAAATGCTCCGTCCTCGGCTTTCCTCAGACAAGGTTTTCTTTTAAAGCACTGGTTTGGGTTTGTGAGCAAACAAATCAGTCTGATGGGGACTGTTGGTGATGATCCTGGCAGCGAGCACCTGACTGCCGTGCTGCTTGAGGACTCCTAAATGTGCACAGCCAGTGAGTTTGGAGCATGGGAAGCTCACATTCTTCCTCTCTGCATGCCAGAACCCTTGCTCAGGGAGGGAATAAAATCACAGGAACAAGAAAGTCACAGATAGATAGACACCCAGTATCCTCTGGATGTGCTATGGAGAGGTGACATCAGAACACAGGAGGGGAGGTAGAAAGCAGAGGTGACACCTCATGAAGGTGATGGGTGCCCATGACTCTTCAAGGCCGCCTGCTTTATAGTCGCCCAGGTCTGTAGGATTTGCGCGTATAAAGGGCTCACACTCCTCTGCCACCTGTTGAGGGCATCAACACAATCCCCATGATTTCTATAGCTCAAACTCAAAGTCACTGTAGGCTCCAGCTTCCCGTGCCCACTGAGCTCCACAGCTGGTCTCACGATGGCATTACCACCTCCCCCATTTGCTCCTCTCTGCCAAGCATTGACCTAAAGTTTCATGAGCAAATCCACACTGAAGTCTGGGGACAATGAAGGGAGTTTACAGAAGAGCAAGGACATCTAGGAGAAGTACTTCCTTCGGTTCTTTACACCTTCAAGAATTTCCCATTGGCTTTCTATCATGTTCTGCACCTCTTTCCCCCTCTGCATTTGGTTTTTCCAAGCCTGTTAACCTTTCTTTCAGGGTTGCCCAGAAAAAACCCAAATTCATCCCGTCTTCTTCGACAAAGCAGTTCAGCCATCTCCTCCTTCTTTCTTCTTTTAGATCAGGAGTTTTGCCTTTTCCACCCCAACGGCCTTCAGAGTCTACCGCAAAACAAAGAACCATCTGCCATGGTACAGAGCAGCCCCAGACAGCTCTAGGTTCAGACAGCAGCATCCTCTGTTCCCTCCAGAGCTCTAAAAACCACACTTGCTCTGAGTCTTGGGTAGCATCTTAAAGAGCATGCCTGCACACTGGGGAGCCAGCACGATGCTGCCCTCCGGCTGAACAGTGCCTCCAGGAAGATGAGAAGCATGTGTCTCATACATCTTGAAGTCAGAAAAGGCCTGGAGTCGACTCCCTGCTCTTCCTAGCAGAGCACCCACCCTGGGCCAAGCCAGTTAGTTTATCTGAGGCTCACGGTGCTCATCTCTGAAATGGGGATGATAACACCTACACTGCAGGTGTCATAAGGATGAAATACGAGAGTCAACACACTTCTATGTTCAGTAGATATGGTAGCCATTCTTGTCATTATTACCACTACTTGACAAAAATTCTTTCACTCATTATTCTTACCATTTCACCCTCTCAGAGCTCTATGAAATAGGTGGGCCAAGATACATTAGACCCATTAAAAAACCCACAGAAGTGAAGGTTCCCCTGGCCAAGGTGGCGCAGCTGAGTGGCTGAGCTCAGACCAGAACCAAGGAGCCCCCCACTCTTTCCAGCAGAGCTGCTCTGGAACTGCAAGCCTCCAAGCTGCCACGCTGGGTGGCCGAAAGTGGGCCAGGGAGGGGAGCTGACTTTCTCCTCAGGTAATGCGATTTTTCTAGCAACTTGGTGTGACTGATGTTGAACCAGGCCCAGACAGCGGCACGTTTCCTGTAGCCTCGGCCTGGACAGTTCTGCTCTCGTGAACTGAAAGATCAGTTCTAAGCACAGGTGTTTTCCATCTGGGAGCTGTTTTCCTGTCTCTAGGCCAGATGAAGTGGGGGAACGGGTTCCCTAACAAAGTCCAGATTGATCCTTTTAAAAGGAGTTTCCTCTTGTGTTCCCACGTTTTATTAATTCCAGTGCCGTGTGCTCCCACCATCCAAGGCAATAGACACTGCTCACGATAAAAACACATTGCGAAAGTGGACATGGGAGGACAGCAGCCTCAAGGCCATCGGGACAGGGGCAGGGAGGGGGCAGGTGTGGCTCTGGAGTGGGCCAGGTGGCCAGTTTGGGCAAGACAGCTGTCTCGGCTTTGTGTTTGCATAAATCAAGGCTCACGCGGTTGCAAGAAACAGACACTGAGCAGGTTCGGAACCGGCTGGTGCCAAAGGAAGATTCGTCATGAGCACCCGGGGCGTCTGGTGGGCCACAGGAGTGGGTGGGAACTGCGGCTTGGACTTGCTAGGACCCCCTCCTTCGCTCTGCCCTGTCCATGGCCTTGTCTCTCTTGCTCTCCCTACCCTTCCTCTCTCTCTTGCTGCATTTTCTCTGCTTCTCAAGAAAGCCTCGGGCTGCCAACAGCTCTCTCATTTGAATGTGCTCCTTCCAAGAGACCCACAACCCGGAGCCTAGAATCTCTTAGCTCTGACTGAAAAGGCCAACAAGTGAAAAGGCAGCACTCGACACTGCTTTTAAATGCAAGTTACCCAAGGTTGAGTGTCAGTTGTCTTCATCAAAGAATGGGTGCCCATGGGAGTGGGGTTCAGAGGCCCGGGAAAGAGGGGTCTGGACTCGCAGAGCTGCCAGCCCCCGGTCCCCTCACGGTGTCAGGAGACAGGCCGCACTGAGTAAGAGGCTACCTGGACGCCCATCCCAGTTTCCATGTGAATTGGGTGAAGGGGCAGTTCCAGGCAGTGATGAACGGGGAGAAGTCATGAGGGCAGAAAAGCCAGCAGGCGTTCAGTACAATGTTGTTTGTACAAAGGCAAAAAGTAGCCACAGAGGGCACCTCACACTGTTTCTGGTGTATTCTGCAGTCCCAGACATTTCAGCTGGCGCTCAACTCAGCCAGGAATTTACCACCTAAGACTGGGAACAGGAACACATTCAGAGGATGACCAGGAGGCAAGGGGGGGAGAGAACATATCCTAGGAATGCCGCATTTCCTTTCTAAAGTGTGGTGTTAGCCTACAGAATGAGACAGGAGTAGGGATGGGCATACCGACCACCATTAAATATGCAACGTGCTGTGGAGCCCCAGCAAAAAAAGTGGAACTCACCAGGACACAGATTTTTGACCCAATACAAGCCTGAGCTGCCTTTGGGGCTGGGGCTTTCC